GAAATTTTATTCAGACTTTGAAATGCAGGCCAGAATCTTCCCGGAGGAGAAGGAATGCTGAGCAATGGAATGTCAGCGGAGACAGAACCAGATGTGGGAACAGATAAGGCGCCCCGGGAGCCTCCACAAACCACTTTGATTGAGCCAGAAGGCTAATACAGGACCGTAATGGAATGGGATGTTGAAAGGCCCTGTCTGATAATGCCTGGATAAAGCCTGCATTCCTCAGCTCTGATTCTAAGCCATAGTTTCAGGTGCTGAGGATCTGCTGGAGGTTATTGTGCAAGAGGGTGATATAATTAATGCATTCTGGATGTTTGGTGTAGGGATGAGAAGGGACAGTGACCAGAGGAAGAATACTGGTGTCTTCTGGGCAGCTGGTTCAATAAAGCCTGAAATCAGGGCTGGGGAGAAGCATTTTCCAAAGCCTGTTGGTACATTGTGCTTGAGGCTGCTAAACCCTCCAGACTTTCACTCCGTGTGGGTATTTCCTAAGTGTTGTCTCACCTCCAACTCATTAAACCCATTTCCCTTCCTCTCTCTCCCTCACTTCCTCCTCCTTTTTTTTCTTTCTTCCCCCTCCCCTCTCTTCCTCCCCCTCTGCCCATCTCTGCTTCTCACTTTTTGTCTTTGTTAACTAGGTCGTTCACGGATACTTATTATCTACTACTTACATTCTGGATACTGTCCGAAGCACCAAATGTTCAGAGAACCTGGTTCTGTTCTCCTGAGAAAAGTAAGAAGTAAGGGAAGCAAGAGGCGCAGAGAGCACCCAAGTAGAAGTTTGCACCAGGCTTCAGGGGTGCGCAAAGTACTACTCTATTATGTCAGAGAAGCTGATGCTGAGGCCAGCATGGAGAAATGACGAGGAAGCCATCAGAGGAGGGAGACTGTGCCATAGGGGGAAGATGGACTCTGTCCTCAGGAGTGGCTGCTGCCAGGTAGTTTTGGAAACGGAGTGATAGGTCTTACATTCAGGAGTGAGGGACCAGGAAGTTGGAGGAGTTTCCATGGACTTTGGGTGCCATGCTTAAGAGGTTAGGCGGCATTCCAAGCTTGCTGGAGACTGTTGGAGAATTTAGCCTTGAACGGTGGCGTCAGATTTATTTTTTATTTATTTATTTTTGAGTTTGCAAAGCTGAGTGAGGGTTTTCATTTTTGGAGTCTGCGACGATTGAGTCAGGGTGTTACTCATGGTTCAACCACTTGGTGGCTCTGCGCCCTTGGGCAAGCTACCTAACCTCTCTAAGCCTCAGTTTCTTCTCAAAACAAAACAAAACGACTTACCTTCTTCATAGACATTGTCCTTGAAATGCCGAATCATTTGCAACGTTCCTCGTCTGGTTCTCGGTACACGGAAGCCCTTCAATACTGATCTAGCTATCTGTGTTCCTCTTGCTACAGTCATCGCCCCTATGAGGAACACCCACCTATTGTAAACACCATTCACCTCACGGTGGAAGGCAAGCTGGAGAGAAGACTAAACCAGAGGAAGAGAGGCCAGCTAAGACACCTCTGGAGTAATGGACGGGAAAGATTCTATTTTCTGGTCAGTGACCAGCTGTCACTGGATGGAGTTAAAAAAATAAAAAGTTTGTGGGATAAATGAAAAGGAAGAGTGAGTAGACTCGGGTGACTGAGCAGATGAAAGAAGCCAGGGAGTGAGTAAAAACCGCCTGCCAGGCTTCCAGCTTGGGTGCCTGGGAGAGCTCCAGTGTCGTGGACATGAGAAAAGCCTTTCACACTGGGCTCAGTGTCTCAGGCTACCGTTCTCCTGACATCCTTGGACGATGGGTGCCATTTCAGTTTCATTCAGCGGCTCAGTGGTTGCTCTGTGCTGCTTGTCATTTGTCTTTTCCCACCATGTTTTGAGTCTTGCACCCACTTACAGCTGGGTTTCGCCACCTCTGCTTGGTGGACACCCCTAACCCTTCTCGGTTTCTAGATCACGTAGATGTCCCAGGATAGACTTTAGATTCTGTGGCCTTGTTTAAAGGCCCTAAGAGAACACCACACCTTCACCGTTCGTACTGTTTGGCACGGAATATTTGTTATGATTGATTGCTATCACATGATTATTATTTTTACTTCTGTATAAAATATGGAATCACATGTGCATTCTACTTTAGGTCTCATGCTATTAGAACAAAAAATATGGCTCAGGATTTGGCTTTTTCTTTGTGTGTGCATGTGTATGACATGTATGGTGCATATGTGCCTACGTATGGGGGTACACGTATGTGGAGGGCAGAGGAAGACATTGGGTGTCTTGGTCTGTCATTCTTCACTTTATCGCCTTTGGACATGGTCTCTCATTGTCCTTGGAGCAAGGCTGGCAGCTGCCTCCTGCCTCTGTCTCCCTCTCCTGGGGCTACAGGGCTGTAATCATGCTTGCTTTTTTTTTTCACTTGGGCGCTAGGATCTAAATTCAGATTCTCATGTTCATGTAGCTAGGCTAGGTCTCACCCATCAGGTCATCTCTGCAGCCCTACCTGTGGTTTTTCTGCTCCTGGAAAATGTTACCTCTACTCTGATTCTGGGGACAGCTGAAGAATCTCAAAGCATGACTCAAGATGTTCTGTCCACTAGAGCCTGGCTTTGGAACAAGTAACAGTATATGGGACTCATGACACATTTCTCTGTTTTTTTTTTTCTCTGTTGGTTTGTTTATTTTTTGTTTTCTCTTTTCTTCTTTCTATTTGAGTTGGATATTTTATTTACTTACTTATTTAGAAAAGATCTCTCTACATAGCTCTGGCTGTCTTGGAACTCACTATGTAGATCAGGATAGCCTCAAAAACTCACAGAGATCTGCCTGCTTTTGCCACCTGAGTGCAAGTTGATGAGAAAGGAGCTTTGAAATTGTCTTAGGATGAGGTTAGACAGGTTGAAGGCTCTGTCAATATATTGAATGATTGTTTCAGGAGAGACATTTTTAGGGTATATTGGTGGGTTGAAGCGAAGACTAAGTGCATCCCAAATCACAAAAAAGAATTAAAAACAGTTTTTATTAAATTTTTCTTTCATTTATTTTACATACCAACCACAGTTTCCCCTCCCGCCTCTCTTCTGGTTCCCTCCCCCCACCTCCCTTCTACCCATCCTCCCCATCCATTCCTTCTCCATCTCCATTCAGAAAGGGGCAGACCTCCTCAACACAGCATGGCACATCAAGTTGAAGCAGGACCAAGCTCCGCCCCACACTGCATCAAGGCTGGGTGAGGCATCCCAGCATGGGAAATAGGTCCCCAAAAGCCAGCTCAAGAGCCAGGGACAGGTCCTGATCCTACTGCCAGGGGCCTTACAAACAGACCAAGCTACACAACTGTCACACACATGCAGAGGGTCTAGGTCAGTCCCATGCAGGCTCCGTAGCTGTTAGTCCAGAGTTCATGAGTTCCCATAAGCTCAGGTCAGCTGTGTCTGTGGGTTCTCCTGTCATGACTTTTAGCCCCCTGGCTTGTACAACCCTTCCTTTCTTTCTTCAACAGGACTCCCAGAGCTCAGCCCAGTGCTTGGCTGTGGATCTCTGCATCTGCTTCCATCAGTTATTGGAGGGAAAACTCTGGTGACAGTTAGGGTAGTCACGAATCTGATTACAGTAGATGGCCAGTTCAGGCACCCCTCTCCACTGTTGCTAGGAGTCTTAGCTGCCGGGGTCATCCTTGTGGATTCCTGGGAGTTTCCCTGGCACCAGGTTTCTCCCTATCCCCAAATGATACCCACCCCCATCAAGCTATCTCTTTCATTATTCTCCCCGTCTGTCCTGCCCCCAACCCTCCCAACCAGATCCTCAATGTTCCCATACCTGCATATCTCCCTCCCTCCCTCCCACCGCCCCCAGTTTGTCCAGAAGATCTCTTCTATTTCCCCCTCCCAGGGACATCCATTCATCTCTCTTTGGGCCCTCTTTATCACCTAGCTTTTCTAGGGCTGTAGATTGTAGCTTGGTAACCTTTTCTTCACAGCTAATATCCACTTATGAGTGAGTACATATCATGTTTGTCTTTCTGGGTCTAGGTTACCTCACTCAGGATGATTTTTTCTAGTTCCAACCATTTGCCTGCAAATTTCGTGATTTGTTTTTTCATCTGAGTAATACTCCATTGTGTGAATGTACTACATTTTCTTTATCCATTCTTCAGTTGATGGGCATCTAGGTTGCTTCCAGGTCCAAGAAAGAATTTTTTTTTTTTAAATCTTATACAAAACAAAGAAAAACGTTTTATTTTCAACCAAATGATACACCATGAGAAATTTTGCGATGCTCCCCATCAGCACAGGGCCTGTGTAGATAGTTTGCACAGTTGCTCTTGACCTCTAGGGAGCCAGTGGCCCTGAACCAGAAGACGCAGGGCAGAGCCTGCTGGTGGCCCCGCGATGGCTATCCCAATCCCAGCCTCAGTTGTTCTGAAGTCCTGTCACAGCTACCACCAACCGAGTCAGAATTAGTATGGACCTGAGGTCCAGCTTCAACAGACAGAAGCTTCACAAATGCCGTTAGCAGACAGTCTCCTAGTCTGCGTGTGTGCTCGGGAGCGCACGCCACAGACATAGCGACGTAAGGGTCGGGGCATGGGATGTTTCTGTGGGAAAAAGCAGCCTTGCGGGTTCTCAGCATTTTATCCGGCTGCTTTTTTACTTTTTCAGAAACGATCGAGGCTATTAAAAATCTATTCCCAGTGATTAAAAAAAAATGCTAGGGACTCAAGGGCTCTTTCCCACTTACTCCCTGTCTGGCAGCAAATACCTAAATGCCCAGTTTTCTCTCTTTTTAATTTTCTCTACCAGTATCAAAACAATCCTGCACATATTTGTGGGGAAATAAATCTCTGCCCTTCATTCCGTGTAAGGGATATAGTAAGACAGGGAGCTCTCTGGGCTAGCGTGTTTCTCTAGAGTTTGGCTTTCGGCTGCTTTAAGAGTCTGGCTCCCTGGTAAGGGGGTTGGTCTCTCCTAGGTGTGGGAGGAGGGAGGGGAAAAAGCTGGCCTGGGAGTTCCTTTTAGATCAGACAAAAAAGAAACCAGGAAGTAAGGAGGAATTATTACAGTCCGTCCAGCTCAGGATGTTAAAGGCGATAACCTCCACGGCCTGGTTATTCATTAGCAAAAAGGAAAGCTCGGGGGAGAGCAGGGCCAGTGCAGCTGTTGGCTTGAAGCAGGGTGAGAGCCGCTGGAGCAGGCCAGATCGGGAGCTTTGGCCCGGAGTTAGTATCCGTCTTTTACTAACTTTTTCTTGGGACAGAGGGACAGCGGGCTGTTCTTTGTTCTCAGAAGTCTGCTTAAATAAACCCCGCCATTTATTTTATTTACCTTTGGTGCCTGAGCAGTCAGGAAGAAGTACCTTCCCACTGGCCCTCCTGTCCAGTCCCTGCTTGATCTTGCCCCAGGGCAGCAGCTACAAACAGAAAGCCAGCTGTGAGTCTGTCTTGGCCAAGCCCAGATCTGCCGGAGAGATTCGAAGCGGGACTCTATCCCCTCTGCACAGTATGGTGAGTTGGAGCTGATCTGGAAGCTGCCTGGTGGAGGAAGACAGTGGATCTGTACAGCCTGTGGGGAGAGGGACATCCTCTCCCCTACTCCCAGCCAGGGCACCATGGGCAGCGTCTGTGTGAGACTCTGGGCATACATGCAGCCTCTTCTCCCTTGCTGGTCCCAAGAGCCAGACAAGTCAGTGGTGATTGAGAATCCGGGGGCCTGCTGTCCCCCAGAGGCTCCGAGCTCACAGGAGCTGGAGAGAAGCCCTGGCCACTACTTTGTGGCTCTGTTTGATTACCAAGCGCGTACTGCAGAGGACCTGAGCTTCTGTGCAGGTGACAAACTCCAAGTCTTGGACACTTCGCATGAGGGCTGGTGGTTGGCCAGACATTTGGAGAAGAAGGGAGCCGGCTTGGGTCAGCAGCTGCAGGGCTACATTCCTTCCAATTACGTGGCAGAGGACCGGAGTCTCCAGGCAGAGCCGTGAGTAGCACAGACCACATTTTGTTTCTCAAATCACTGGGGGCTGGATACTGAGCACCACTACCTTCTACTTATCTACTGCCCTTCACCCGCAGATCGGCTCAATGTGTGGAAGTCCTGGTCAGAAGCCACTAATTGAAACATGCTTTTTTTTCTAGAAAAGTGAGAGAGAACCGGGCAGGTGATCACTGTTCAAATGACTTTGATTACAGTGCGCATACCTCCGGTCCACTTAATACTCTCCCTCTGCCTCACTTTACATAGAACTGTATTTTCATTTGTGGGGAACCATAGTCTCCCCTAAACCTGCTGTTAAATCTAAAATTTGAGGCTTTTTGTTTGGTGTTAACTTTCCAAGCATTCCTGACTCATGCTACAGACCTTCCAGCTAACCACAGCCATTTCCAATCTGGAACGCTCATACGTGGGCTGATTTACACAGTCAAGGACACACCTACACAGTATTAGTTCTTCTGGTGGAATATAACAGGGAGAACTCTCTTGGAATTCCTGGATCCTGAGGTGTACTATTCATATTATGATAGCTCTTGGTTGTTAGGATTAAAAACTGGCCAGGTATATATAAACAGCAAATTTTAAAGAGAAAAGCCATGGAAATATTTCTTCAGAACTATTTCATCCTGGAGAAACAATTCACTTAGGGGGCTGATGATGAGCAGACCTAGTTCCAGTTACCTGTCTCTGATTGTGGTGGTTAAACAATTATCTACCCTTGTAAAGATGGATTACAACAGGTTGCTGAATAAATCTGATGACCACCACTTGTGGTCAGAATCTGAGATGTCCCTCTCAGGCTCTGGTTTTGAATCTTTTTGTCCAGCAGGTGGTGCTGCTATTGAAGTCTGTGGGAGCTTTCAGAGGTTGTGCCTAGGCGATGGAAGTCCATCATTAGGGACATGCCTTTGAAGGGTGTACCCAGCTTTTTCTCTCCATCTTATTCTCTGTTTACTGCTCCACCATAATATGACCCATCAGTCACATGTTCTTTCTACACTGAACTTAGCCACTGTACCTGCTTTCCCATGATAGATGAAAACCTTCAGGAGCCATGAGCCAAAATAAATATTTCCAGAGAGAGAGAGAGGGGGGGGGAGGGAGGGAGGGAGGGAGGGAGAGAGAATATCCACCCTAGTATTTGAATAATCCCTACAGTGTGTAATGGCATGAAAGAGGAAAAATTTATGAGTTTATTCATCCATTCAAACAGCAGGCATAGTTGTGGGTGTGCTAGTGCCGTTTGATTAGGAAGTGGATAAAGTGTAATCTTGACAATGGATTTATAGGACCTGGGGGATTAGGAAGCAAGTTGAGGAGATTCAATGTTGGCGATGAGTTCCAATGAAATCTAATTCAGGGAACAGGCTCATTGTAAAGAAGGGTTCCTTCCAGGGAGATCACTAGGAATCCTCTCATATTCTTATCTAGGGATTTTTCTTTCTGATTGCTTGCTTTTATTATTATTTTAATGTGATATTTTTGTTAATTCTTTAGAATTACATATTGTTTAATTTGATCATTTTCGCTCCCTTTCCTCTGTAGTTTTTGTTTTTTTGTGAGCTGCACATCTATTACTGTCTCAGGAAACAGTATGACAAGGACAGTCATGGGCCACTGCCACTGATTTCCAAACAGTATTTCCAAAGGAAGGACAGTTTGGTGATTTTTGAGATTTTTTCCCCCCAATATCAAGAATCTTTAAAATTAAGAAGGCTCTAATTTATGCCTAACTAGATACTAACTGACTTAGACTTTTGGTGGGCAGAATTGATAAGTTATCAGTGAGAAGATTCCCTAGCTGGTGCAACTCAGGAGCCTGAGGCAGGAGGATTGCTACATGTTTGAGGCCAGTCTGAGCCACACAGTCAATACAAGGCCAGCCTCAGAACCTTGCTTCAAGAAAAAGAAAGAAAAGAAAGACCTGAATAAACCTTTATTTTTTGTGATCTAGATCTTCCTAGATTTTCTCTCACCTAATTTCTCATGAAAGTGAGTAATATCTGAGGCACTCCTAAACAGAAAAAAAAATGTATCTTTTTCTCATCCACCAAATGCTTGGTTACATGTGTTTCTTACTACTTGGTTTCTGCGTCAAGTGTTATGCATATTTTATATTCAGTGTAACATTATCAGAACAAACACTTCAATGTTAATATTTAGTGCCTTGAATTTGTGGTATACTAGTGTTTAAATATATCTGACTCATTGCGGTTTAGGGACTCTGATTTCTCCTTAAGATCTCTGGGGTTGTCTAGACTCTTTTATTTCATGACTATGTGTGAGTGAAAACTCAACCTTTTTTTCATGTGTTACATTAACTACATTTATCCTTATACAAATGCTGCTGGCTAGCATACGGAAAGAAGATGAGCTATCCCAAGGTGAACATATCCTGGTTAAAAGGCTGGACAGTGTCTGGACTAATTTAGAGTGTCTGCCTATGAATACAAAACAAAGCAGCTAAAGTATTGTGGTCATATTTCAATTCACAGGGATGGTCTGTAGTCAAGAACACTCTTTTCTACTTTCCAGCTAACTCTAGCCCGTTCCTCTTGGAGTTGGTGGTCAACTGTGCTGCCATCACTGCCAACTCTGGTCTCCATAGCATGCTTCTCTACACCCTCTTCAGGAGAAACAGGATGTCTGCCTTGCCAGGGCAGGATACTTGTTTCTTTCTAGGCACTCATAAAAGAGTCACCTAGATCCCTGGTTTCTTGCCACCACTTGGCCAAATTCCACAGGATGCCAAAAGTACTTCCATTCCACCAACAGAAGTGATTTTAACTTACCAGTTTTTAGAGTGAGGATGTTCTAGAGGCTCATACAGTGCTTTAGTATCAAGTGAATCATAGAAAAAAATTTAAATATTTTCATTGAGATTTTCAGCCCATATTCCAGTTTTCCTTTTGAACGTTGTAAAAATTAACGTGGTTAATTGAGTTAAGTAAGTAGAACTGAAGAGGGACTGTTGCTTGCATTCACTGAAGGGATAGGAGTAGGCAATGGGAAGCCAATGAAAGAGGATTCATCTAATTTCTAATTATTTAGTTCAACATATAGTAGTGCTTATCTGTTTCTGTCTTTATCTTGACTTTTATTACTAGGAAAACAACGTAAGTACTTCTACAGTTATTACTACCAGGACAAATCCATAGAAGGGTTTAGTTTGTTGAAATCTACCCTCAACTTCCTTGATACCTGGGAGTAGAGATCTTACAAGAACCACGCTATTGTTAAAATGAACCACTGTCCTAATAGATTATTACTGCACTTGGACATGCTTTAAGTTCCCTAAGTATCTTACATTGACAATGACCCAGTTCTTAAAGAATTCTGTTTCGGTGAAGAACCTTTATGTTCATATTATCTTCAATTTGAATTCATTCCTAGATCCTCTTATAGATGAGTGCTTTTCTTCAACACTTTCAATCCAGAATCCATCAAAAACTTTATGCTTAAGGTCTTGTGACACAAAGCTCCGTTAGAAAAATATTATTTGGTGTTTTTTTTTGTTCCTTTTTTTAAATTTTATTTTATTTTACAATACCACTCAGCTCTACATAACAGCCACAGACCCCCTTGTTCTCCCCCTTCCTGCCCCCCCCCCCTTCCCCCCCCCCCATCCCCC